TGTAAAGGAAAGCTATCAGTCATCTGCACTATATGATGTACGTCGAAGTAAAGGACAGCTATCATTCATCTGCACTATGATGTACTTCGAAGTAAAGGACAGCTATCAGTCATCTGCACTATGATGTACGTCAAAATAAGAACATGCCTATCTTTAATGTCCTATATCTTCATGTATGTATACTCACTCTTTGAGGATCAATGGAACTCTTGAATATTCCATCTGTAGCCCTGATGATGGCTCCTTCTATGAGATGATTGATGCTGGTGAAAGACCTTCCAAAGTTGTTGCTAAAAGAGCAAAACATATGTACATGTATGTGTTTATTAAAGTCTTATTACACATAGCACTGACTATGGTATTCAAAAGCAAGGCACCCTGTGAAAGACCTCCCATTTTGCATCACCTCTGAAGCAAAATGTCATCCTAGAATTCTCAATGCATCTTAATATCTTAATCAGTTCAGAAATTATAAAAGTTGAAAACATTTTATACAATTTTGTCATTAAAATGCTTGTAATTGGACACCTGATGAAGTCATGGTAAGGTTTCAAAAAAAAAGGAACCTCTTAATCCAGGTTATGTTCATACCACGTTTTCTATTAACTTGAACTCTTTTGAAAGTTTGATGATATTGGCTTAAGTTTTGATAGATTTTGATCATTTACTTGGACATGTTGGAAGGTAATAAAATACACAAGGTCTGCCTGACCCAAAACATACCTACTGAAAAATTACTAAATGTTTCAAGTTTTCAAAAAATAGCACACAAACAAATCTAAACATTCACATCTACCACTGCATAAGCCAGAGTTTTCTTATTTAGTGTTAAAAATGCAAGGTGATTGGACAAGTTTTGGGGTTCACTTTGTCTCATATATTTTACATTTTTGATCCACATATTTCACATTTTGCTCCTATATTCTGCAGCTTGATTTGGTCTGTATCACAACCGGTCTGGTGTCAAGGTGGTAGTGTAAACAGTAAAACAGTCCCCCTTGGTAAATGTGTCCCCTGGACATTTTTACCAGATTGTAACCCGATAAAAGTGTCCGGAGAGGGTGGGGGGACAGGTTGTCCACCCAACAGTAAATTTGTTCCCCCCCCCAAAAAAATGTGTCTCCCGTGCAATGTCTCAAGTCTGTTGCCCAGACCCTAATTTAAACTGTTTTTGTGCAACGTATAAAGACACCATGCTTTTTGTGGAATGCTTGTTAAGTCAAAACACAGCAATTGGATGAGGGGGCTATCCTGAGCGCAGTATCCATGGCGACCAAGTCATCTGTGCACAAGTTGTAATTGTCTGAATTTACTGTACTTAATTGAGGGCTAGCAGCTTTGGCTTGGAGCATACGATACAGTACGTGGAACTACTCTCCATGGCATGAGAGATGGCATGATACCAGGGTAGATCCAACTCTATTTCATTTGGACTGAATTCATGAATTTAACACAGAAATAACAACTTCTGTGTGGCAAAATGAGGGGGGGGCCAAAATTACTTGGAGGGGGACAGATTTACTTTTACCTAAGGGGTACTTTTACGTAAGATAAACCTGTCCCCCCGGACAGTTCTATGGAGGAACAGATTTACCATCTACATCAGCATGTCGTCCTATTTATTAGTTCATTCTATATTTTTATTTTCATTCTAAATTTATTAGTTTTGTGCTATATAATATTAGTTTCATCCTATACTCATTAATTTTGTCCTATATATTATTTTTGTTATATATCTATTAGTTTCAAAATATATATACAAGTTTTGTCATTCATGTATATTTATTAGTTGTCTTTCTATATAAATCACCTCTGTCCTTTAAATGTACTTTTGCCCGATATACAGATTGGTTTCATAGTGTATGTATTAGTTTCATTCTATGTATATTTCTTTTGTCGTTTACATATTTGTTTCGTTTTAGATGTACATGTATTACACTTTTATCCTACATGTATATATAAAATATTAGTTTCACCGTGTATATATTATTTTCGTTTGATTTTTTGTGTACTAATAAAACAATAAAGGCTGCCCCATACAAAGGACAGGAACGTTGTTTCCAAAGACAAAAACAAATGGAGAAAGGTCACGCAAAGCACTCTCGTGCTTGGTTACATGTACTTCTGCCACTGTCTTGGTAAAATCTTCTTGTGTCAAAAGTCCAAGTGCAGACAGTAGTCACATTTGACCATTTTTCATTTTACCATCAGCCCAAAAGTCCAGTACAGACATGGCTTGAATTCAAATCTGTTACCAATTTTAAAGAAGGCACTTCTGGTTTTGACCTCAAGCAAGAGGGTCACATGACTTCACATACATGTACACCCCAAAAAAGGAATAACTACATAAACCCCCAACACACCCAAACACAATCTTACTATGTCCTCAAAAATCGGGAGGGCATGGCCAATCGTGCTGAAATCTTGTACATCGTGGTAAAAATCAGTGATAACTGATAGTAATGTGGTACAGCCTTCACAGACAGGGAGGTCATGCCAAAAATGTGGGCATGCTCAAAATTTATGTAGCAGGGTGGTAACGCCTTCAAATCTCTGTGACAGTAAATTGAGTAAAGACAGCATGATACCAGCATGGTCGTAGTATGAGGTGCATTTTGTACCACGTGTATAAAGATACATTTGGTCCAAAATGCACCTCATCCAGACCAACAGCCACGTTTTAACAAAATGTTAAGCAGGGTCTTCCTCGTACCGGTTATTAACAAGAATTTGAAAGATTAAAATTGACAGTAAGGGCCTGTAATTTGACACCAAAGAATGTCTTCATGATGTCACTGTACAAGGACAAACTGCAGAAGAATATTGTGGTGGATTTTTGAAAGCTCCTGAAAAACTTCCCCTACAATCTTCAGGAATGAAGCTATCAGTATTTGTATACACATTCCCTCCCACCCCTTCTCCCATCTGCAGTTTTGGCCATGCTGGCTACTCAAGGACACCTGTGGTTTAAATGACAGAGGAGCCACAGGCAAAGGAATGCGAAGCTAACAGCTTTTTGAAACTTGGAATAAAGGTACTTTGACAAGACACAAAGCTTCTTTAAGTTTTTATCTCTGGCTTGAAAGCTATGGTTTTACTTCAGGCAAATATACTTTTATCTACATTTAATCTGGTGATAAAGCAAATGTTGAAACCTTCCAGTTCTTCCAGTATTATCTGTTTTCAAAATTCTTTAAAAATTCCAGTCTTCATTTACTGGACACTTACAAACACGTGAAGGACTGTCTGGTGTTTACTCTAGCCTGACAGACAAAATCTATTGATGCCTGAGTATTTCAGCCAGGCCTGCAGCCTTGTAAAAAGAGCCCAGAGTGTGCGGCGCTATATAACTTTCTTTTGTTCACGAACCTGACTCAGTGTGCTGCTGACCTCTTTTCAATAGGGGCCAGATTAGCATGTGTAGCTCATCGCTGCGGTGGTGGTGGATTGCTTTTGTCCCGGTGACAATCCGCTCGCTCTAACTGCCCAAACCGTGGTATACTGTTTCAAAACAAGGCTGAATTACCTCCACTTTTGAGAGTGAAAAATGTCGGTAATGTCCAGCAGCCTTGTTCCCTTTGTCCGAGTTCGGAGACCCCAGGCCACGCGTATAATGCATACGTGTCTGGATCCGGAATCCCCGGCAGGGAGTGGTTAATAACCTCAACCCATGCTACATGTATCTTTCTTCTCTTTTCACTGCTTCAGATCATCCCATTGGTATCCATTCTTTAACGAATGGTTCTTTGTCTCTGTCAGTAGTCCCAAGAACAAATGCCGCCAAATGCACATTTCAGTATCTTGGTACCCTGACTGGAATAAACGGTAGCACATAGACAGGCAAATTCACTTCCTCTTTTTAACTCATTTTTAAAATTGTTGTTGTACATTCATTCTTAGTTTGATGGGTATCTTGAGTTTAGTATACTTGGGATTTTAAGTTCTCCAATTTTTGTATTATTCTCAACAATATTAGCTAACAACTTCTATTGTTTGTATTGCTCTTTATTTATAATCCGCTTTGCTGTCATGTTAACCTCATTTGTTTAAACTTTTGGCCAAGTACTTGTCCTTTTTTTACTTTTAATGTTGAGGGACAGAATTTTGTTTTGTGCTAATGTTTTCTCTGAATATTTTTCCTATATTTTGTTTATCTCAAGTTTGAAGTTTGAGTTTTGTTTTTGTTTATGTTTTTCCAAGTCCCTTTTCTTAATTGTGCCTTTCTTACACTATTACGCTTGGGTTTTTAGCTTAATCTTCAATTTGTTTAGTTTTCTTTTCTCCATGTATGTATTTTTCATTTTTTTAAAGTCTATTGTGCTGCCTTCTCAATTAGTTTTATTGTTTTAGTCTTCGTGTTTATCTATCTCATAATGTACCTTTTCACATTTATGCATTTTTGTAGTTGTGTGTTACATGTAATTCTTACCATTTTGGGCTTTTTTTCAATTTCTTAATGCTTTCCTGTTTTACAAAGTACTTCTTTTTATTTGTTGCCTCTTCTTATTCTTGATTAACATTTGAATAACTTTTGTAGATTTTAATTTTGGTTTCTCTGTTTTATATTCCTGTATATAATAATTTGTTTATATGTTCAGGGCCCTCATTAATAGCAGTAAGTTGTACTGACGATGCTATCCTAATTAAATAAAACAGTAATAAAATTTTGGAAATAAATAACCAAGATATGTAAAAGGAAAAGTTGCAGGGAACTGTGTTAACAGAGACTACATGTAAGGACACAAACTTCTACGTTCCCCAGCCCCCCTTCTTCCAAAGGAAATTACAGAAACAACCAAATGAAAACCAACCACTTCAACTGAACCTAAATAAAAAAATGAAAACCAAATGAAAGTGATCAATACCTGAGACTTAGAACTGGAGAAAATAAAATAGTTAATCAAAAAGTAAATCCCCAAAAGCAAAACCAATATGGTATGTAAATTGGACCTTTAGAGAATACACTCAGACTTCAATCTTTAAAATGAGGAAACGTAAAGAACATAAGAGCAAACAAATCCTTGGTGCATGGACTACAGGAAGTGAAAGCAGGGATTAACATATCACACTAAAATTGTGCACAGACCTATGGGGCTCAGTAAGCACTCGAATAGATCAACAAAGAAAGGCATGTTCTAAGGCATTTGTCCATTTTTGCTGGATTGGAAAATATTAAATAACGAGCAGTTTCCTCAATGTAATGAGTTTTATTTATCAGCACTCCATCCTTAGTTGTTCACATAAAGCCACTTGCAAATGTCCTTTTTAAGGCTGTTCTTCTGGGGCTGTAGACTAGTAGAGAATTGAGGGGGGCAGGAGGGTGCAGGCAACGTCAGCACGTGCAGCATTCATGAGAACACTGAAAACCATAGGCCGTGTATTTGAACTTGAGCCAGACACACCTTCATTAGTTTCCATCCTGTCAGCAACAAATACAAATTTCACAAATGGACCAAAAGTTTTTGTCGCATTGAATACTTTGCAGCTGACGATACCTTCTTCATGTCAGTTTTATTGGGGCCAGCAAAAAACTTCGAAAAATGTCCCACGCCTATCATCTGGCACTGGCAGATTTCCGTAATATTTTCTGTCAGAAAATTTTGCATAAAAATCGGAAATACTTAGGTCGACGTTAATACTACATGCAAACCAGTCCTTCAAAGAGATGCCAGCACCCTCACTGATTATGGACGCAATCAAGAGGCATTTTGAAATCCGTCATTGTTTGAAAAATTATACCATTGTCTGTGGTACTCAGCATGAGCAGATTACCACCAGGGCAAAAGCACTCCAATGATGAGCGATACGATACCACTGCACGCTAATCTGGTCCCCATTGAAGAGATACCAGTAGCGCACTGTGCCAGTTTCGGGAACAAAAGAAAATTACGTAACACCGCACAAACTAAGCTTTTTTTACAAGGCGGCAGACCTGGCTGAAATACTTGGGCATCGGTAGATGTTGTGTGTCAGATTAGAGTAATCACCAGACAGTCATTTGTGTGGGTGTAAACGCCCAGTAAATGAAGCTATGATTTTTTTAAGCATTACACCTGGCAATACATGTACATGTACAGTATATATTTTGTGCAATACGACTGTATCAAGCTGCCACCACGTTCCCAGCATTTCCTATACTACTGCTGAAACAGTGCACCCCATCAGTTCTCTGGTGGGAATGGCATAAAATTCTTCCTGATCAAGCTGCGCTTGTACCACGTCTATAAAGATCCTACGACAATACTGATATGTTAAGACTGCATTGTATGCCATCTTTACATTCGTACAAGAATTCTGGCAATTTTGTGGGTTGGTTTCTGGTCTCTCTGGACAATAAATGAGCCAACTTACGCATATGTATGTACGTGTATAGCTGCTTTCCATGCATCAGAATAGGGTACATCTGTGTCACTAATAAGTTATTCTCACAAATTAGTTTCTTACACCCATTTTATCAATAATGATATGAGCAATCATTTTGGTGGCAAGTTTCTCCACTTCCAATTTCATTCTGTTTCGTTTCTAAAGAGCACGTACCGCATGTGCCATGTTGGCCTTTCTCGGTAGTAATCAATGTTTATTGCATGTAAATTAGCCGTGACATCGCCTTCTTTTTAAAACAGCCAGACTTGACACATGGGAAGAAGGGCTAAAAATACACATTGAAACGCCTAAAACTGTCACAAAAGACAGGGAAACTAATATGTTCCTATTTTGGAGATATAATACTTGTAAATATGATAAACAAAAAGTTTAAAATGATCACCGTTCGGTTGATCTTTGCAGAAAAGTCCCAAAAACTCAGCACGCCATGTGAAATGGGTAAAAATGTGCACAACTGTGTACCTTTGTGTGAGCATGTTTCACCAAAATTTCTCAATGTGAAAAGTTGCCACACAATCCACCCTGAGCTGATGTGCTCCCCCAATCGGCGAAAGGCAGATGGTTACAACCGGGTTCTTGCATGTGCGCAAACACCACATGCTCCGGAATTTGTTGCGCACACTCAGCGTACTCTGCATCAAACGCGCATAAACTTGCGCACCTAAGTGGTAAGTTGGTACCAAAAGGACTGTCAATTTCATTTAAAAACACGCCCTCTTTTGTTCCGCTCGGAGAGGATAAAAGCAAGACAATTACACTGTGTAACATGCAGGATGGATGTTGCCCACACTCTACACCTGCACTGAATAAATACATGACCATACATATAACTTCATGTAGCATGAACACAACATTCATCTAAGAATGAAATATGCCCACATTTTCAAAAATAGATCCAGTTCAGAAGCTCTAGTCCAGATTTTAATGTGCCCATACTTCAGAGTCAGATTTACTAAGACTGCATTTCCAAAGAGATGGGGAAAAGTCGAGTGTCATTTTATGTGGCAGGCAGTCTTGAATTTTACAACAAAATAGAGGGTATGTACTAACCTTATCCAAAGGTGAGATTGTGCAGAATAAAAAGTGTATTCCATAGTTGTCAGGGCCATCAGTTCCTGCAAGACAAGATTTATAAATAAATAGTGTGGACACAACACACACTGGGTTGCAGTTGGTTTCAGTTGATATGTTCTCACATTAGTTTCCATATTTTCAAAAAGCTTTTAATTTGGATATGTAAAATCAATCATTAATTTCTATTTGACTTGTACATGTACATCAGAGTTTAATAAACCTAACCCTAACTCATACAATTCAAAAGAAAGTTAATTATGACTCCCATTACAGTAAAAATGATGCCATGATGTGGATGTACATCTAATAGCTGCTTACCTTGCCATCTGGTCCAGTCCATATCATAGCTAGATTGAAGTTGCTGTCATTGAACGTGTACTGTAAGATATAAATAGAAGTGGAAAAAATGGTACTCAATAAAATTCAATAAATACATGTTATACACAGTCAGTTCACTGGAAAGCCACAGAGTGGAAGCATTGCTATGAATTCAGTAAAGTACGCAACGGAAAAAGACACTCTTTTGATTGGTAGGTGAGTACTTGAACTGTTTATTGAGTCTTAAACAGTGTGGGAAGATCTGGAGCATAGGTTGTTCACTCTTGGCTGAGGGCTAGTGGGATAGTGATTGGTTGTGGATTGCTTGCAGTCTGTGAACACCATAAGTTGGGTGATGGCTGGGTTGCAATCACTGTATCACTGAACTGGCTCGCTTTGAGGGTTACTGGGAAAGCTCTAGTGCCTGTAAGGGTATTATCCCTTGCAGTAATCGACCCAGGATGGTGAGGGTTATTTCCCTTAGATTTAAGACACTCCGTGCAGACTATGTGAGAAAGAACACTGCTTGCTGGTAATATCTTTGGTAAAAGTCTAGCTTATGTTAGAGTTGCGTTGCCAGGTGATCAAGTTTACCACATAAGGCGAGTCGCCTTGTGGGGTGTTCTACATAAATTAACCTTGTGTTTTGATATACTTCACTGATTTGTTATTGTAATAAACCTATTACACTGATTCTTGTCCTTGAAAGCATGTGTCCGCAGTGAGGTTTATTAGATTTCCCTATATTTCCTTGCTCTGATATCAGTATAATCATGTCTTCACTAGGTAGTAAATTTCCACTGAATGATCTGCTCTTAAGCTAAATCCACTGCTCCTTAGCTGGTATCCCCTTGTGTCTGGGTAGCTGCTCATCCTTACGCAAGGTTGATAAATATACTTGTGGGGTTAGGCCTGGTCAATTCCATTTCCAATCAAGCCGGTCTACAGAGTCCACCACAAGAGGTGTTACTTTTTGCCATAATATGAACATTCTTTTACATGTACGCATGTACACTTCAGTGACACAGAGAGTGGGTATTCAATACATAAGATATACATTACTGGCTGGAGGTGAAGAGTTATTCAATGTTTCAAGATGGTAAACCTGCTCTTCTGTAGGAATCTGAGAATACAAGTCAAATAACAAAACCAAGACCCTCAACTAGAAATGAGCACATGTACCGGTACAATCACAACTTTTTTCGGCTGTTTAAAATGACACATCATAAAGTCATGTTAATACAGAGGACTATTAACATAAAGTTACATACAAATCAGAGCTTTATTTCTGTTGACACTGGCCTCCCAAACATGTTCTTTATAATAATGCCACTTGACACGTGATAACATCATCATGACCATCCTTAAGTTGTAGGCCTGTGAATTAACACTCACCGGTTCTTCTAAGAACCACACCTCTTCCAAACGAGATTGATTCCATGGTGTACCCGCAAGCCAACATCTCATGTAACTTCCTCAAAGCTAAGCTTCCAATCTTACTTATGCCCATACTTGAATTTCCATTATGGGTGCATATAACATTACAACCAAATCAGACCTGTACATGTACAACTGTGTACTTGACCTTAAAAACAAGCCCTTCAATTGATATCACACAACTAGGATATGTCATAATGTCAGTTCAAGCATCTATGCATTGTAACACATGCCTTCTTTTCCTATACAAAGTTGTAACTTGTGCATAAAACGTGGTCCATTCTTATGTCTTGAAAAGCAGGGGTAAGTGCAAATGATGGAACGTTCAGAACACTCTACTCATTACAAATACATTCATGAATACATGGGACAGATTTTTTTCCATTCCTACTGGTTGAAAAGCATCACGTGGTGGCGTATTAACATTTGATAATCTCTACAGAGAAGTGATAATGCTAACGACGTAAATTACACACTGGCACATGGATACAAGTCAGTTTAATTGGGTCTTATTGGTCAGGAATCAGTGTGCACGTGACGTGCCACATAAGCGCCAATTTCGCTGAAGGGGATTCTATTAAACAACATTCAAAAGGAATATACCCAACATGGACGAGGGTGTTCAGGAAAATGGAAGTCAAATTTCAGAACAAAATTGTTGGAAATCCATCATGTTGGCATCTTTTGACTCTCTGAATAAAAAGGTATTTATGAATGGGAATAAATATGTGCTGGGCCGGTCTTATACTAGCGTTTAAGACCTTGCTTAGGAGAACGAACCCTGAAAATTCCCTTGCCTGCACATTTTCTGCAGAAATCTTGAACAAAATATGCCGGGGACATGTACACATACATCTATATATCTCATGTCCTATTGGTTAAAGTTTTTTGTAGATAACCATGTTATTTTGATGAGGTCCTTCTGTAGAACAGTCTTGGTACGAATTGCATTTCCATCGACAAAACCTACAAGTCGAAAGACTTCCTTCATGTATGTGCTGGTAAACATTCTTCGGTGTCATCTAAAAAAACGAAAATATTAATTCATTGTGTGTCAGTTACATGTTGATGCATGTGAAAAAAGGTGTAAGAACTTTCAACACTTTTGATATCACTTGGCTATATACATGTACAAGTAGGAATGTGTTCTTATTCCTCTATGGTTAAAGTGGGGGACTGGACACATGGATGTTGATCAATGAGTGATTTGCATTAATACATGCATGGGTCCCCCTCCTCTCTTTGCTTCATGACTGCATTAATCAGAACTGGCAATCTGTTTGTATGTCAGAGCAACAGTAAGCCTTTTCAGCATTACCTATCAATTTCCTTGCTTCGTTGTAGGTCTAGAGCAGCTTCCTTTATCATGGGTAGCTGAGCATCTGATCTACATGTAACTGCAACTACATGCGACGTTGAATTCCTAAAATGGAGAGCAACTATCTGTGGCTTTCACTTCAGCAGCAGCATGAAGGATCCCTATACACAAGAAACAAATAAGGAAATTGAAACATTCAGCTTACATCAACAAGTAAATAATTTAAAAAATGTGAACCAGTGATAATATGGTTTGTTTGGGGGAATAACAATGAAATATGCACTTTGAGTGTTTTGAAAAGATGAAAGAAAAATCTGCCTTCACTTTTTAGGGTACACATTTTTCTGAAGAGTATCATATGAAAACCGCCAACTCCTTTCTGTTCTAAAGATTTGCAGAGACTTCAAATGACATGGAGACCAATGGAAAACTTTGGGATCTTTTAAAGGCAGATAACTTTGCACTATTCTTCTGAAACCAGTTTGAACAATTTCTGCAGTTGTCTTTCAATGAATGTTAGCTGTTATACAAGTAAATCTAACTTCCTGTCGGGTGCAGTCTTGCTATGAGTAGTTTGATGAAGCTGTTCTAATCCTTCTCAGGATCAGTCCTGCTTCGACTGCTCTTCAATCATACCGCGGACATCCAAAATGTGCGAAGACTGCCCTCATGTCTGTGCTGATAAACATGTGTATCATCGCAAAAGGAAACATTTATTACAGGTGCAGCAGTTCATGTGTCGATGCATGGGGAACATTTGTGTCAGAACTTGAACACAAATACAGTGTACATGTGCACATGTAATCATTGACATAGCAACCTTGCATTCTCACTAAATGGGGGTACGTGGGACCTGAATGTTAAAGTGGGGGACCATGCACATGGATGTTGAAGGGGGAACCATTTATGATGGTGGTACATAGATGTACCTCCCCCCATATGCACATACATTGTACACACAAATTTTAATTCATGATTGCATTAATCAGAACTGGCAATCTGTCTGTATGTCAATGCAACAGTAGGGCTTTTCACCATCACCTATTAAATTCCTTGCTTTGTCGTACAGCAGCTTCCTTTATCATTGGTACCCGTGCCTCTGACATCTACATGTAACTGTAGTTGCATTGAATTCCAATGCTCAGAACTAACATGGAGAACAGGTTTATCTGTAGTTTTCACTCCAGCAGTAGTACAAAGGACACCTACATGTACATGTATACACACAAAGCAAAATAAGGAAATTAAACTATCAGCTTATGCTACACTGACATGTAGAAATAACCTTAGGTCTACATTCGATTTGGCATTTCATACAGTTTTGGATATTTACACATGTACCGTAAACCTCTAATGACATGGTTTGTCTTCAGGGGCATAGTTATGAGGGACTAATTCAGTTCAATGTCTATGTTCAACGTAATCATAAAACTTGCAAATGTACACGTACAGTATGAACATGTATTGTGCTCCATCCTGATTTGACTTGAACCACTGAATAATGTATACAGGAGGGAGTTAATGCATATATGTGCAAGTTGATCACTGGATTGTGCTGAACACGTAGGACTTACATAATCACTGTTAATCGCCTTCTTCATAAGGTGACCATATCACCAATGACCAATGGCCTTATATATAAGGCCGTTTGTAGAGTTCAAGTTTCTCGGGATATGTCATATATGTCAGTGCAAATTCAGAGCTAATTTCTTCCCCTAACATCACTGTCCAGATTTAGTGCAGAAAGAAACTTGCAACTGAGAATGTTTTGTAATACGTACACTTTTGCCTACCAGAACCACTTCCAGCACTTCATCCATCCAGCTTCCAAACCCAGCTGCCCGCCGCATTTGTACATGTAGCTGTTGGGCTCGGTTCATCCTTGCTAACAATCATTGTGATCATGCCTATTAGGTATCAACTCCTTCTGCAATTTCTTGTGCCGGTGCATGAATTTGGTTTCAGTTCAGCTTTTATGGGATTACCTTGGAATCCTCTGATGAAGCAAAATCCATTAAGAACTCAATTGGTGTAATTTCAGGTCCTGGAAGTCCAAGATGTCCTGAGAAAACACATGGGCCCGTTGAAAATATCGTCCTGATCAAATCCATGTGTTGACACGAGACTGCGCATATGGTCGATACATGCATCATGGAGAAATAAAGCATGCACGGACGATTTGTGTTGAGAATCAAATTGGTTGAGGCCTGAAACATGAAATCTCAGAGTTCATTTCCCTCAGTATTTCGCACGATTTTTTTTCACAACCTTCTAGCCAAATTATCTAGAAACCATGCAATAAGACTGAGCTACAACGCTCACATCCAAAGATCAAAGATCGTTTCACATACATGTAGGTGCTTTTATCAGTAATTAAATGATATAAAGTTGTATGAATTTGATGCTGCCAGTAGGCTTATAGAACCAACAAGAACCGATTCCACTTTTTATAAAGCAACAATGAGGAAAAAGAGTACACCTTTGATACAATTTAATTAAACGCATGGGCATTGTTGGTATGTGTTTTGGTGTGATTGGATGAAATGTACAAGTGTCTGATTCCTTGACACAATTGGTTGATTCTGTATGAATCTCCAACTTTACGTCCCCTTTTTAAAAAAGTCTTTCACGAATGTGAATAAGACGTGGCAACTGGCTGATGGTGGAATTGTCAACAAAACAGTAACATTTACTGCTTCCGCAAAGATCCAGTGACCTTGCATGTCAACTGATCGCACCTATTAGGCCGGTCGAATAATACACAGGAATAATTAACTTGTGATAGCTTGGTAAGTGTGGCCAAAAAGTAGGTTAGTTTATACAGGCTACAGCTTCACAAGGTAAAATCTGCAGGTGCCCATAGTCTATTATCCTGTCCTACCTCATTGCTTGTTGGGCCTACAAGTATTAGTGTTTCAAGCAATAAAGTTTGAAGCTTAATAAAGCTTACATGTAACTGCAAGATTGGCATATTTGATGGTATTGCACTGACTGTTATCTCTCATGTAGTGTATGTACATGTATTGCTGGGCCTATGTACTGGTACATTCAACCCCAGCCATGCTCTCCCAATAGGGAGAAGTTGAAGTGAGACGGTTCATCAGGTTTCTTTTTCTCCTGATCTGGAGAATTCTCCCAATCCGCAGAAATTTTCCATAATTGGATAGAATAGCTGTTGAGTGTCACAACTGAAAACTTTATTCTCAATATCTTAAAAGTTGGAGATAGCAGTATGGACATTACATCCAGCATGCTAATCATGAATGATCTCACACAGTCTCGCGGTAAACAGGAATAAAATATTTGGTTAGCAAAAATACGTCTCGCAAAAACGTGACAGCACGATATATAGCATATATATATAGTAAAATGAACGTACATGTAAAACACAGGCCAGCCTGGGGATTCTGTGTCAGCTCGTACCCTGGTCAACTCGTACCTCAGTAAATTCATACCCTCAGCCTCGATTACAACACTTGTTTGTGACCAAAAAGGGTTACGATTTTCGTCTTCTTTTTTACCCCAAACAGATAACAATTTTTGTTCCCTTTGTCCGTGTTTTTATCCCTTTTCGGATGATGTTAGATACTGTGCTACAGATGTTTATTAACTTGTATTATTAAAATGGTGAAACAAAAGTATTTTGGTCCCACAATGAAAGTTTGTTTTTCTTGTGCAGGGACCAAATTACGGAAATTTCTTATTCCCAGACACTGTGATTGGTCAGAAAAGAAAGACAAGGTAAAGCACCTTTTTTTAATTAATCAACAACAAACAGCAGGCAGATCTATCTCCTTCTTGAATTTGGGTTGGCTCTGAAAAGAGCCAGTTGGTTTGTGATTATCCCCTGCCGTTTATAGTGCTGGGCTAGTAAGGTACTTGCAGGCAGCCAGTAAGGATGAAAAATGATAGCTCTATTCCATTTAGAGACACTCTCTCTTATACATACATGTAGATCGATTTTAGGAATAAACTACATGTATGGGTGCTTTCGAAAAATATGTTAATTCGAGTGTGAACATGTATCATTGTGTAATTTATTGATGTGGAGACTGTAGTGGAGCCTCGGGAGGGTAGAAATAATAGAAATTATCTTCAGTCAATCAAGTCTCGATGTCTTCTTCAAACGAATGGCATTGAAGCAAAGCCAAGTGCACAGTTTGTTTTGTCATGCTCTACAGGCATCAAGATTCTTGAATCAAATGACTATTGAATCACACCAATTTTAAGAGTCTGCATTATTTAAAAATTCGTCAAGGACTAAACATAGTTCTGGCTAGGATCGTGCGTGTAAACTATGCATTAACTAGGCAATCATTTACGCATAATCTCTTTTAAAAATTTGGACATTTGCTAACTTTGGAAAATGCAGACCAGAGGCAACATTTATTTAGGTGCCGAGTTGACAAGGTGCCGAGCTGGCAAGGTGCCGAGCTGGCAAGGTGCCAAAGTGACCAACATTCGATCTGCCAGGGGCCAATTTCATAGAGCTGCTTAAGCACAAAATTTGGTAGTGTGAAAAAAAAATTGATAAAAAAACAAAGTTTAATACCAACTCAAACTCAACATCATGCTAGCCAAAAGACAGCTAAATACAATCCCAAAACAATATACCATGTATACATGTATATTAATATTGGACAGAGTTTTGGTTGGCTACCTGATTTATCAAGCAAGGTTTTCTCGTGCTTAAGCAAATTATGTGCTTCATATAATAACTACTCCCTCTGTCCCAGAACTGTGCTGGGGTCCGCCTACCCCCAGAACTGTGGGGTCCGTCGTCCGCCCTTTTGTGGGAGTGCAGCGGACGTCGGACCCCTCAGTATTGTGATACGGTATCAAGTGCTATAATCCAGCATATCCAGGTAGGCCCCTATGGAACTCTTTCGTGTCTTAGATACTGAGTCTACAAAATTAGCAGTTGTCTTACAAAACTCGTATGACTTGGGTCAGATAGCGCAATCATCTGTTCCTCAGGAATACTGCATTTCGAATCCGTTGCATCTCTCACTCGTCTGCGTTTGTTTTCCACCGCCTGCGTCCTCCTTTTACTTGCCGAAGTAAAATCGCTTTGACTGAACATACCATCAAGGCCTGTTGACCTTATATTGTTTCTTCTCAAGTTCGGTTCATAATTATTTCCCAAAATCGTGGAATGCACTGTGTTTAAGAGTAGTACCATCAAAGAAAACGTACAAACAGAGATAACAAACGTAGCCATCATTGAGCCTTCTGTCGTACGGCCGAAGGTTCGAAGGTATACGCAAACCGGGTACGCGTCTAGCTGGCTGGCTGGTCGTGAATGCTACAGTAACTTCGCCCCATTTCCACGTCGCGCCCCTAACCACTTCGCCCCATTTCCACATCGCCCCATCCCCCACTTCTTCCTGTTTCCACTTCGCCCCATTTCCACTTCGCCTGAGCCCGTCCAAAAAGGGCTTTTTAATTACCGTGTTTTGGAGGACTGGTGTTGACGCTGTGTTCAGTTGCGTGTTGTCGGTAATTAGTATGACCGCCAAACTGGTCGAGAGAGGAGTTCCACAAACGACATTGAGTTATACATTATACCATGGAGGAAGAAGGGGATTCCCTCCTTCCTCCATGATTGTACTTGCATTCGAGAGCGGAAATCCCGGGGCGGGGAGGGGGGAGAGGTCCCCCGTGAATTTGGTATGGGAGGGACACAATGTCAAATGTCCCCTGACTCCCCTCCATGTTTTAAGCAGGAACTGATGGATCATGGAGGTAGGAAAAGACCATGCATGGATCAAGGAATTTCGCTGTTTATTTTTTTGTACAAATGGAATAAGATAATAAACATAGGCCTACGGTGTAAATCAATCTCCCCCACGACTAGATTTCCACCGATGCATGACAGAAACTCTACGGAATTTAATGTCAACTGCGTTGTCCATGGTGAATTATGTGGTTTAACCAGCACTGGGTTTATTTCTCATCCTCTTCAAGTTTATTTCCAGTTTCTGTACACGTCGTTATGGTAATTGTCAATGTATCCGCAGACAGCCGTGCCCCAGTGATCGGATAAACCTCAGCGCACCGCGTCAGGAAATTTTTTCTTGCCATTATTACGTTTGTAGTACACACACTACATGTACGCCCGTCGCATCGTGCTGTCTTACGTCGTTTCCTTATTGCATTTTTTCTGCCTAAACGTCGCTCCTTTTGTCGCCCGTTGTGTCGCACTGTCATGCATTGTGTCATATATCATGTCATACATCACATCATGTATTACGTTGCCTGAAGCACGACATGATGCACGACATGACGCGTGACTCAACGCGTTGTGTACTGTCGCCCCTTTGCTTCATGGTGTTTATAGAGGGCACCTTTACTGAAACAGTAAAGGTGCTCTCTATAAACACAATGAAACATTTCCATCCCCCGTGCCTGCATATGCTATTACTAATAGCTCTTTGCACTCTGTCGCTATTGGCATGCAGAGCCTTGAACTGGCAGCTTGTAGATATGTCAGAATTGTGTCAACGTAGCTTTTGAAATATTGTCCAATCGTATAATAGACATATACATGGTAGAACTAGAGAACTAACACAACATGCCCAAACTTACTAAGCAACATACACGGGGAATCATTAAAGTGTAAAGCTGCCAGATCAAGACTCTGCGTGCCTATGGCGGCAGCGTGCAAAGAGCGAATAGGTAGCAGGTCTTGTTTCTATTGTTCTTTTTCATGCGTTCTTTCTACGAGGTAAGTTTGTGTTTTCAATAAGAATGAGTTGTTGAAGAAAAGGTTTTTTTTAAATACAGAAAGACCGTTACTACCAACTATCAGCATTGTCTCCAGGAAATAAATATCATCAGCCACAACAATATTTAGCTTTTCCCACTCTAATTTGGATCTTTCTAATAATAATTTCTAAAGCTATTCTATGCTACAATACATCAATCATCATTACGTGCTTGCTAGTGTAATATGCAGATCTGATGAGAAGTTATGTGCTTGGCCAAACAGATTTAAAGAAGTCACGGCCACAATGACAATAGCGTCTGTACAATACCTTCCGCTGAATCATCTCCAAGGGTTTGTGGTCACTCTCGATAGTGAAACTACTATTGTAGACATAGGTATGGAATCGCTCACATCCAAAAACTACTGCAAGGAGTTCACACTCTATGTTGGTGTATCTATGTTCTGTTTCACTCGGGGATTTTGATGCAAAGGCGACTGCCCTGTCATCTTGAGTCAGGGTTGTTCCTATGCCTCTGCTTCATGCATCGACCTGGGTTGTGGTTTCTTTCGAGAAATCGAAGTAGGTAAGTATTGTCTTGGTACCGATGAGATCTTTGACCTTCTCGAACGCCATCTGGTGTGAAGGAGACCAGACGAAATCAGCATCTTTTTTTCAGTAACTCTCTGAGGTCAGCTTTGTGTTGAGACAGGTGGGGAATGAAGGGATTGAGATACATGTAGGTCACCATGTCAACAAACTCTTGGAGCATCTTGTCTTGAGGGGGTCTTATCTGTTCGATGGCTGCAACCTTGTCGGGGTCGGAATGCGCACCATGCTTGTCGTAGATCATGCCGAAAAACTTCATGTTCGGAGTTTTGATTGCACATCGTACTGTTGAACATCATACCAAACTGGCTGGCTGCCTTCATCAAATGATGGAGATTGCAATCGTGCTCATACTCTGTTGCACCGAATACCACAATATCATCTGCAATGCCGATTGTGCCGGGGCATGACTAGAGAAAATGGTCCATGCGCATCTGGAACACATCTTGGCTCATCACTAACCCAAAGGGTAATCTCAGGTTAAAATAACGGCCAAAGGGACTGTTGAAAGTTGTGAGTAGGGAACTTTTGCCATTAAGTCGCACTGACCAGTAGCCATTTTTTGCATCCAGTTTGCTGAAGAAATGTGCACCTGAAAACTTCTTCTATGGTGGGAGTCTTGTGATGGCATCTTTTGATCGCGTTGTTCGAGTCCTTGGGATCAAGGCAAATTCTGAGTTTACCATTTCCATGCCTGGAGGCTGTGAGACTGCTTACCCAGTCGGTTCTGTGACGTGTCTAATTGTGCCCTGTTGGTCCATGTTGTCTAACTCTGCTTACAGCTCACCTTTCAGCTTTACTGGGCATTTGCGAGAGGCACTGATAGTGGGTTGGGTTCCATCTTTGAGAACAATATGGTATGCGCCTGGAAAATTGCCAATTCTGTCAAACTGATCAGAATACTGCTGCAGTAGCTCCTCAGTTGAGTTGATAGGGGGACACTCTAGGGTGGCAATTGCACAGTGTAGTGTCTCGAGCTTCAGTTGTCGTATGTAGGCAGTTCGAGTATTGCTGGGCCTTCAGACTCTACAGTGAAGAATTCTGCCTTACTCCATCCACTCTGGTCAGACCAGCAGGTGAGTGTTGTTGACCCCTGCTGGTTGATTTTTGTGTCGTTGTAGGCACATAATATGGCGTGTTGGTTGGATACGTACTCTGGCTTTGGGAAACCGTCAGCAGTGAGTCTGTCTGGATACATGCGACGGTACATGCGAAGGGGCAAGGTGTTGCCCTGTGCACCAGTGTCGACTTTAACTCGCAGCTTGACAAGTGTCTTTCTGTCTCGCCTCACATCTACGTAGGTATATGCCTCATTGCGGGTGTCAGAGTCACAATGGTCTGAGGTGTTGGGGTCATGGCAATTGGACTGATGACTATTTCGTAAAACTGGTCCTCGAGGTCACTCACATGGTCTGGATTGGAGATAGAGTGGACATCACGGCTAGATTTTGTCCTCGATCTTGAACTGGAGCATGTCTGTCGGTGTTGAGTTCAGCTGGCTCGTGCTTTGCATTTGGAACGGCTGCGTTGACCACTGTTACTCGAACCAGATCTGCAGACAGATTGCCAGTGGTTCCTTTTTGCCACATTTGTGACATGTAGTGTTGTACACTGGACAGCACTCTCTCCTTGTGAAGGGGTACGTGCCTCCACCGTTACGGCATTGACGTCTGGATCTGACAGCGTCTACAGAGAGGTCAGAAGGTTGAACCTGGGCCAGCTGTCGTATGTGATTAATTGATGCCTCATGAGTACGGCCTTACTCAAGAGTCTGCTGCAGCGTGAGGGTTTTGTCTTGACTAATGATTGACTAATGGTGCAGTGTGATACCCAATCTTGGACACATGTTATATATCAACCAAATATATCAGCAGTACACTAACTTTTTAAAGTGAATTTAATGTGCTCCCATAGACTCTTTCATTAACTGACACCTTTGTCCTGTGGACATTGCTAAACATTGTGGGTTGAGTTTATCATTAGAGTGCGTATTGCAAAGATTTGCATTGTTTTTGATGTGTTAGGAGAGGGTGGATTGCTATAAATGAACCAACCTTGTTGCATTCTCTCATTGTTTTCTATTTCTTTTACAGAATAGGATTTGTACATTCTACAGCAATATGTTAAGTGTGAAATCTGTGGCTGTACTGATAGCTTTAGTTGCTGTGTATTGCAACTGGCCACAGCCTCCATTATCAGAAAGACTTCAAAAATGGAAAACCTCAGGAAAATACTTCAAGTTCAAGGACTTCAACATCTTTTACAAAGGTAACTCTACAAAGGAAATGTAATTTGGGAAAGTGTTCTGCCTTGTACATGTATGTACTTTTGGGAAGGTTTTGAATTGGGATAACTGTAGAAATCTCCTTTTGTGTCAGATTCTTTGGGTCAGGACCATAGTTCTGATGATCGAGTGGTGCTCATTCTTCATGGCTTCCCATCTTCAACTTTTGATTGGTATAAGGTAATTTGTCCTGCATACACCAACATCCAAAAGTATTGGTTATAATATTTTTTATGAGCAAGGATGTTTTTGAGTTGTTATGTTGTTTTGCTTAGAACTTGATACCTAGTTAAAAAGTGGGCTACTTCAAAGAAGTTGAATATGAAGATTAAGGAACTTGAGTACTCTTATACATGTATATAGATAACAGCTCTCTGTAATTTTTTCCTTCAAAATTTGTTTCAGTATTATACCTACATGTACTTCCCTGGTCAAAAGCTTATTTCTGATTCTGTCTCAAAGACCAGCCACGTTAAGGCAGTTTGTACTCCATGCCAATACAAAAGCAAAGCCATTGTATTGAGATTTGCTTCAATTGAAATGTGTTCAACTTTTGCAAATTTGCAGTGCGAATATTAGATCTGATGTCACAAAATTGCAATTGTGTTCACTTTTGCATCAAGTATGAACCGGTCATAGGCAGGAGGTGTGGGGCATTTGGAACAAAAGGGAGGCACTTACCCTTCTCATAAGGGTAGGTTTAACAGAAAAAGGGCAAGAAAGGTGTAAAGGGAAAGACAGTTATGCCTGTCATGCAAAGCCTGATGCATGCCTGCTTCTGTTTACATATACTTGTGCATTATAATTGGTTTTAAAGCTCAATGTCCAACTTGAAATCTTGAAGCTTATCTAAACTTCTAGATGAATGAATTATTCCTGATGCCTCTCTACAAAGAACTGCAATCAGTTTTGGTGGTGTATTTTCATTGTAGATGTGGGATGGGCTGACAGGTCACTTTGAACGAGTCATTGCTCCTGACTTCATTGGATTTGGTTTGAGTGACAAGCCAGTGAGTTATTTTTTGTAATTCCTAACTTTAACCCTAATTCCCTAAGCCTTTTTACAAGGAACCATCCTGAATCCTCCCAAATCCTCCAATTTTCAACATGAAAAATTGCATTCAGCCCAAATCCTCCAAAATTTCTTGAAAATGTCATTTGGAGGTGTGCCTAACTGCCCAAATCCTTCAAAATCCTCCTGCAATTCCTGTCATTATGTTGAGGCAGTGTGAATGGCACTCTTGAGCTGTGCAGTTGATTCAAAAGAATCACTGAACTGTTACCTGCTATCCAAACCTCCTTGCAAACCACTGACTACTTAAAGTCACAGACTATGTGTTATCTATCTTTCCATTTGCACAAGGAACTGTGAAGTACCCAGTTTATAGGTGTGAATTCTGCATGCTGTGTAGGTAATCCAACCTTACTTGAAGAAGACTTATCTAACAAACAGTCATCCCTTCAATTAGATGAAAAAAACATTCAGAATGTGGAGCTCTGTAAGGTTCATTTCATTTTTCTAGTGATAACTGAAGCCAGCGTTTTACTGTTGAAATAACAGCCACAAATAATTTGTGTAATTGTGTAAAGAACCATTGCTCTGTTTTGACAAAAGGACCTCTCCAACCTTGAGAGAGACACAACTTGCTGGTGGCTGTAATTTTTTCAAACAATGTCTGTCGCACTCGGTATTCTTAATGTGTAACAACTGGAAATCATTGGTATTATTTGAATTTCAGAGAGATCATGCCTACACCATGTTTGAGCAAGCTGACATTATGGAGGCACTTTTGGCTGAGCTTGGAGTGAACCAAGTTCACATCCTAGCACATGATATGGGTGATACAGTGGCACAGGAGCTCATAGCAAGGTACATGTATTTCTACTGGTACTCCTCCCGCCTGAAACCTTCCATAACTCCTATTAGTATCTTGTAATCAACCCTCCCAATTGTAGTCCACCACTGCCATAAGCCATACTATGTTCAGAGATAGTTGATGAAGATTATTTTGTAAATTCCCTTTTCAAGCATCAGTTCAATATGAAAAATTGCTCCATTTGCTGGCCATGAACCATGTTTTGAACAAGCACACTCTGTAGCTCTTTATGCCAGCCATCCACACATTTATGCAACCTCAAAAAGAAAAACTTATTTGTTCCAAGAAAGAGGCAAATTTCCTTGCTTGTAGACATGGTAGATACAAGAGACAATCATTTTACCATGCTGACGTCCACGGTTGAAAGAAGTGTATTGTATGTTTTCTACAATATATTATGATTTTATAATTTTTTTGTTCTTTCTCTGTTTTGGTATTGGTTTTTTTTTTCCCATAAAATCTTTAAGGTTGGGCCTAGGGCTGAGTCAATTTGAATAATTCACCATTCAAATATTTGACCTTCAATTCAAATGAATATCCCAATATTCAGTCTTACAGACCGGCAGATTATTGATGATTAAACTGAACACAAAATCAGTTGCAGCAACGCACGCAATTGTACACTGTAATCACTGCAATAGCTTCCAGCTTCTCATGTCTAGAAGTATCTCCAGCCATGATTTAGCAAGATTTAAGAGACAAACAATACATCTTCTTACCCTGTTGAAAATGTCTATTCCTTCTAAATTTTTAATGAATAATTTACTTTTAATCATTGTAAGATTGCCGTTGCTTTTCATTTGAATCTGCTTAAAAGTTTTCATAGTGCAAATTTTCTCATTTAAAACAAAAGAAAATTCTCCTGTTTTATGAATTTTGCATTCGAATATTAGAATTTGGAAAAATTTATGTGAATTTTCGATAATCGATCGAATATTCAGATATTTGGCAATCTGAATTACCTTTCAGGATTGTTTTGTGTTTCTAGTGTCACTGACTTGGGGAAAAAACAATTATTGTCACCAAACTGCTTCTTTTTTTTTCAGGCAAAATGCCCAAACAAAGTCAAACAAGAAGCCAAAACTGGAAATTCTCAGTGCTTGTTTGACAAATGGAGGTGAGGGAAAACAAGACATTTAACTAGTTGATGCTTTAATCAAACCAAACTAGTTTATAAAACCAACCAGTGCTAACCAAACCAAGTTTAATAATCTCTGCAGCCAAGCACATTCTAATTGCACTAATCTGTACTCTTCAGAAGCTTTTGCAGAACCTGTAGGATTTTTAACTTTATTTCTTTCATTTTTAATTTCTTTTTGCTCAGTTATTCATGTCTTCAAAGGTGATGTTCGCCATTTGCAAATATATACGTACCAAAATGGGTTTGCCATACCATTATGAATTAGCCTATGGAAACTAAATAATGGTATCATTAATTTTCTGAAATTATCACGTCTAGAACTTGTTATATTCAAGGAATCAGGAATTTTGTTTTATTCTCAGCAGGCATTATCAACTCGTAGCGGGTATTATTAATTGTCAATACACGGTCAAGTTGTGTTTTGTTGAATAGGGAAACTGTCCTTAAAGGTATTCATAAGTGGTCTACATGTACATTTTTAAAACACTTTTAAAAATTATACATTTTCCTGGGAATTTACTTTTTATTACCAGCAAAAATGCAGCTGTTTTCTGGAGTGATGTTATTTCTTTTTATGTAATTTTAAAGGGCCTTATGCTTAAACGCAAAAAGAGTCCTAACATTGAGAAAGATTCAGCAATTATCAAAATGTCAGGCAGTCTTACTTTAACACTTTATTTTGATGTCATTTGGCCATTCAAGTTAGTAAGCAGTTTTTCTTTGGCTTTTTTATTGCATGCTTTGCATGTTCATGCTTTAGATGTAAATTTCCTGTTTGTTTTTATTTATTTCTTAATTTTTTATGTTGAAATGTTGCTCTTGTCAACAGGAATTTTGCCTGAAACTCATCAGCCAAGGTTTATGCAGAAGGTTCGTGCTGATTAAATTTCATTTACTTGTCAGATATTTGTTTGTCTTTCAGGCATTCTGCCAGAAACACTGGAAATAAGACTCACCCAGAAGGTTGGTGACTGTCAGAAGTTGAAACTCCATTAACATTTTTCAAAAATAATATCTGTTCAGGGATAGAGTGGACTCACTCAGTTTGAGTTATGTCAAGGTGGTTAAGTAAAAGGATAATGTCTTCCAATCTAGCCCTTCACTGTCCCTTTGTTTCATTCATGACTATTATAAGGCCTGAGAGTAATATATTGGGATCCTTTTTTCATTTCGTTATGTCTGTGCAAAAATGTCGTAATGTGTATTTTTGAAAAGTATTTTTTTCTGAATTTCGATTCATATTTACTTCAAGATTATTACAAGTAATAGATGTGCTTGCGCAAAAAAGTGGTATCTCAAAATTCATTGAAATTCGTGGGAAAAGTGGGATTATATTGACCCTTCTTTTTTCAAGCTTACCGATCATAATTTGAAATTAACCCCTAATTGTTAACTTTTATGATAACAAATGCAAGTAGAAAAAATAGAAACAAATTTAAATTTTGAAAAAAATACAAGAATGTAAAACAAAATGTCATTTACCACCGATTCAGATACTACTTGAAGCGACAGTCTTGGTCAGATGAAGGAAATTTCACTTGGATGTTTTTAGGCATCGTATTAATAATCTGTGACTTGACGGCATTTACCTCCTACGTGCTTAGTAATTGGCTAGCACAGTGAGTTTGCCAAAATTGCCAGTTTTCCAGTGACTTATGCCAAAATGTATCAAGTTCCGATATTTTGACCAGAATATTGATCTTGTTCCTGGAGATCAAAGATCTAAAATTAATCAAAATACAGAAGCCTGGAACAGCAGAAGTGTCTTTGTCTAAAGCTCCATTTTCCTGTGATTTAATTCAGCACAAACATTTCCTGCAAGGCACAGACCTGTTTATGCAGTTTTCACGAAACTACTTGAAACTTGGCACTGACACAACAATTTGTTAGATGCACCATGTCTACCCTTTTAGGTCAAGTTGTTGCTTATAATATCTTATATTAGTACCTGCATAAACCTTCATCAAATTGGTGGATCACGTATCATGTCACTGAGTTATTCATTCTCTCCCACAGTACCTGTCAAATAGAGCTTCACTTGACTGGTTCTTACCCCCATTCATACATTTCATTCCCAATAAGAAAGAAGAAAATAATAGCATTGCACAGTACTACCAATGAGTAGTGCTTTGGATATGAATCTGTTTTTTAATAATGACGTAAATGCATGAAGACTGTTGTTGTAACTTAATACCTTTGAAGATGTACGCAAGTACAGTATAAAACAGATGATGAACTTTTCACATTCATGCAATGGCATGGTAAGAATAATTTCCTGAGATGACAGATTTAGATGAAGTGTTCCATTCTGTGAGGCCAAATAATGTTGGAATAGTGCCATTGTTCATCATAAAACTTTAAATATAAAAGAGCACGGAATAGGAGGGGCATGGAGAAATCTTTGTCCATAACCATTGATGGGATGAATGCTAGAGCATTAAGGTGCAGTGTGTATGCATTACAACCTGAATTGTTTTGATGTTACCACAATGATCAATCGTTGCATTATCCATTTCATCTTGACAGCTGATGATGAATCCCTGGATTGCACCAATTGGAATGCGAGTGACGAACCGTCTGATTTTCAGAAAAGCGTAAGTGAAGTCTATCCACAAAATGTTTAGTTTGTACAACATATTTTATATTCATTTGGTAATGTGTCCTGGCCCCTGTTGTTACAAGTATATACGTGTGTTTGTCAAGCTGGTTCCTTGGGTTCCCCTTCAGTTTTTTGGTTGCCCCACCCTAATTTAGAAAAAAAACCTGCTTTTTCTCTCTTTTTTGTTTTATTTTCAGGCCTGCGAATAAAAATTGCATGTATATAGGGTTCTTCAGTCATTTTTGTGTGAAATGTTTCGGTTTTGCAGGTTTGGAGAAGTGTTTGGTGAGCGAACACAGCCAACATCGGATGAGTTCGAAGATCACTGGGTACTGATACGTTGGAATGATGGAAACCTTATTACTTATGAGTAAGTTCATATTTCACTGAAAAAATTAGGTTACCGTATTCCGGCCCAAGGGAGAGATATAACCACTTTCTGCAGGGGACACGTATGCTTTATATGCGTGGCTGGGGTCTCTGAACTCGGACAAAGGGAACAGGGCCTTGTAACAAAAGACTGTACTCGGAACAAAAGACCAGGCTGCTTGGAATTACCGACAGTTTTTCAATCTCAAAAGTGGAGATAATCCAGCCTTGTTTTGAAACAGTATACCACGGTTTGGGGCATTTAGAGCGAGCGGATTACCATCAGGGGACAAAAGCGCCCTACCACCACAGCAGTGATGAGCCACACAGCACCTCTGCATGCTAATCTGGTCCCTATTGAAAAGAGGTCAGCAGTGCACTGAGCCAGGTTCTTGAACAAAAGAAAGTTATATAACACTGCACAATCTGGGCTCTTTTTACAAGGCTGCAGGCCTGGCTGAAATACCCAGGCGTCAATAGATTTTGTCCGTCAGGCTAGAGGGGCCACCAGACAGTCCTTCACATGTTTGTAAGTGTCCAGTACATTTTTAAAGAATTTTGAAAACAGAAAAAAATGATAAATATCCCGGCCCAGCATCAGCATTATTGATAACTGCCCCTGGCAGCAAGTGGTTAAAGGCAGTTGACATCCGACTTCATTGGTGTTCAATGCCTGGTTGATTTGGTTTAATGGCAATCAGCTAGCCTGCCAAACTGATCTTGTCATTACATTCAGTTGATCATGGCAGTTGTGTTGATCAGGTTGATTGCCGAGGCACCTGTTGTTTAATGTCATGGCATATTTTGTTCTTCACAGTCTAATTCAGTATCTTCCGCAGAGGTATGCCAATAGGGATAAGTGGGTTGGTGCCCTTCAGGAAACCAAGATTCCTTGTAAGTTGATTAATTACAGAAACCACTGTTACTGTCAGTCCAATAGGGTACTACAGATATATTGTCAAAATTGTTCTTCACAGTATATCCTTTTTCCATCTGTGAAAATCATAAATTTAATTTCAACCAAAAACAAGGCAGATCGATTCATGAGGAGGGATTCTCAAGCTACAGTACTAAAGGCAGACAAGATTTTGAAACAGTTTTAAAATGACCATGTTTGCTAAAGCAGTATCAGATTGAAAACTGTAAACTAGAAGAATGTACATATTTGGGATTCAAGTGTCGTATGTCTGCACGGGATGTTCGATTATCACATCCTGTGTCCATTGATCAGAGGACTTTTCAGTGTTTGATGGATCCAATCTTGGCAGTTTAGGATATCAGAGCCTATCAATTTGCATAGATATGTTTTATGCTACTGTGATTACATGTATAAGATATTGTATTTAGCCCCAAATCTTACTGGATGTCATGTTGGACACTTGTATGTGTAACATAAATAACAAATAACCAGTGCGATTCAAAAATTCACCAGTCTTACTTTTCCTATTTTCCAGTACACTTAATATATGGCCCATCGGATCCAATCAATCCTCCAAATACTTTCCTGAAGCGATACAAGTAAGTTCTAATAGAACTTGTATTCATTATGTTGTATTGCATTAAGTTTTGTTATGAAAGATTTTAAATTAGATTTCAAGCACTCTTGGAAGTATGGTAATTTAGTGTGCATTTGGCCTCTTAATTGAAGCATATAAAAGAAACTTCCCAAACATTTCAATTACATGTATTAGGAGAAAAGTGTACTTTTAATGAAAATTTTGCCCCTTGTCAAGTTTTTGAATTTTTTTTTTGGTTAGTTTGTTTGGTGTGGTGTAGTGGGGTTTAATTTGCAAAGCTATTTTGTTCTGTCTCAAGCTATTGCAACTCTCTTTTACCACTAATTGTGAAATGTACCTATTTCTCTCATCCAAACCAAATTGCCAATCGGTGTCCGGTTTTATAGATGATTTGATGTTGAAATTTTTCTTTGACAGGATGTTGATTCCCGACTCTGGGGTTACTGAACTAGCTGACCATATCAGCCATTACCCACAACTAGAAGATCCTGAAAATGTCTTAAAAGCCTATGTGAAGTTCATGGATAGGCTAAAGATCAATTAAGGATTAAGGATTTGTTGCAGCACTAAAGAGAAAGTGAAAAGGGCATTTAATGTCAGGTCAAGGAATAAGGACAATTTCTATTTTCGCCAAATTTCTTTTGGAAAACCTTCGGAAATAAGTGCAGTCTCCTATTTTACATGTGACTAGTAAATACATGTGACATTTAACATCTTGTCTTGAATAATATGATGTGGAAACAGACATGTTAAGTAGTCAGTATGACCTATTTGTAAAGAGATGCAGCCGCTCCTGTGGAAACCTGAGATTGTTTTGATGATGGACTGCAAAGAGATCTGGTTTTATGGATGAGTTTTCCTCTAATACTCAGGGTTTCACTCACAGTTCTTAAGACTGAAAAGAAAAATAACGAAAAAGCAACTTTTACAAAAATATTATAATTTGCTGAGCTAATCTGATCAGCTAATGGAATTTATTGATCTAAAATCTTCTGTTGATGCCAAAGTAAAAATATAAGAAAATGTAAAGCAATGGCTGGTCAGAATAAGCAGGTTGATAAAGAATAATTGTTTTCAGTGGTACCAGTACATTTATTTTATAATGTGTCTTCTAAGAAGTTTGTTTGTTTAATCAGTGCAACTGGAATAATTTGATAAAAAAATTTTGTTCAAAAATTGGCATGTTTTGATTTAGTGTATATGTTTACAGTTGTTGTGATTTTTAAAACTTTTTATACAAGAGACTGATGAATGCATGCCAACATAAAACATGCAAGAATATGTCACTTTGAGTCATTGTGAGTTTAATTGATTTTGTGAAAATCGTATGATCCAGCAATGTATTTGGTAAAGGTATACAAGTTCATCAACATCATAGTTACACTGATGGGAGTAAAATATAAATTTACTACAATGTATATTGCAATAATGAGATTGACTTTGACAAAGGACACTTTAGTAAAATCTTATCTTATATTGTAAGATCTTCCAATTTGGTGTAGTACTGTGTTTGAAACTATATAGAAGCAATTGCAATATTGTAAGAATTCTTTAAGATGTCTTCCCATTGATGAATAAAGCATTTTTAACAGTATAAGCTTTCCCCTGTGTTGTGTTGTGTGTCCCTTCACCTGTTAATTCCCTCATCCTCAACCCGACTCCACTTTGGCATTACTGGATAAAAAGTGACCTGCGAGTTAAGTTTAGTGCAGACATCTAACATCTAGATGTTTGCATGGTCCCTCCAACAAAGTATTGAAAGTATGTTTGGCGTCAACTGTGCACCTGAGTTGAAAAGCTAGCTACCAGGCAATTTCAGATGGTTCTACACTCTGAAGTGTTTTTTTTTTCTTTCTTTTTTATCCACATTTTATTACCTGAAGACAATTCCATATTGGACATATTTGACATTTTTCTCTTTCATTACAAGCAGATTTCTGGGGTTATGGTCAGCCAAGGGTTGAGAGTGAAAATGAGGGTTGCGACTTGCGGTGTTTGCAGGAAATTGTTATGGAAATGTTTGTGTTATGAGAGACCGTAGAACGCAGAAATGTTGGGCTACATATTCTGCTTTAAATTAAAATTTAAAAAAAAAGTACATTTATTTTGAGGACACAGTGTTCCAAATTCAAAGAGAGAAGATTTTCGTTCACCGAAGATGCTGTATGAATATCAAACAAAGTGTTTATGATAAAAAGTGAAACATTATAAACAGATACGTCCCACTGTGACCATGGACTCGGAGGTAGGAAAAGCACCGTACCGGCGTCGCCTTTCACTCATACCACCAAATGGTTGTTTTTCTGCGCACGAGCTCATTAATATTTTTTGAACCCACGGGATGTTTACAATAAGACAGGCCATAATCAGGAGGCATCACAGAAATATCTATCAATCCTAAATTAGGACTGATAGTTTCCAGTTCGGGGTATTCTTTCACTAAAAGCTCCAAATTGCGGACATAGAGGCAGGCGGCTACATTCAGAAATGAGCGTTAGTTTTACTGCTATTTTGGGGGTATCTCCGTTCACGGGCGAATACATAAATATTTTCGTGGCTAATCCCCATGAAATTGAAACGAAAAGTGATCTTCTGGTCGTAATCTTGAATTTCCGTTAAAAAAAATCGGAGGCCAACCCCTTCACGAGAGTTAACAGGCTAGGCGGCGCGGCGCTATTTCGGTCCGATTTTGCACTGTTTTCTATGTGCGTGTATTTGATGTAGTGCAACCGTCAGGCTGCTCAACCTCGTATTCACAGCCCTGTACAAATTTTATATGTTATGTGCATGCACCTGGGATTGAGAGTTAGACACTAAAGCGCGCATATGAAAAGTAGACACAGACTGTCTGTAATTCACTGGTACGTACTGTACATGTACGTGGTCCGTTCGTGTGGCCTCATCAGGTGAGCGCTAGTTTAGATGAAAGACATGAAAGACACTTCACTTGTTCGTCATAAATAATAACAGGCCATCGTTTTCGCATTTTATTCCGCAAAAAAGTAATGGTTTATCCTTGGCAGATAATCTGCTGGTGCTAGGGACTGCAGCTTCAGCCATGGAGTGTATTCATAACATGACATTCTCGGGGTCGGAGGTTGTTCTATTTATTGCACTCACGTCTATAGTAACTTTCCATTCATATGATCCACTTGGTACAGGGATTTGCATGTTTTCCTCTTTTTGGCAGCAACGTGGTGAAAATAACTAAAACCTTTTCAGCACAGTGTGGGAAATGTTTATAGCGCATAAATAGTGAAATTTCAGGCACATTTGATTTAAAGGTTAAGAGTTTGAGTCAATACTACATGTCAATAGGCCTGGGGATTTTCCCCTCTAGGCCTAGGACTAATTTTGCCCCTTTTTGGCTATTCCATAAAAGGCTAAAAAGGGCTTTTTTCTATTCATGCTAAAATGCAAATTTTTGAATGTAGATGACGTCAGTTGGAAAAAATGAGTGGAACCCTCGCCCTGTGTTCACAGTGGAGAACCTTTGCACACACCAAACAATGCTTGCACATGTACATGTAGCCATTGTTTGGCATGCACAAGGGCTTAGATAGTTATAGTTGAGCTCTGAAGACAAATGACACTGCGTTTGATTTGGATGCTTTCATATTTATTTGAACAGATAAAATCAGAGAAAACATGTTTTCCTCTGAGGTGCTCTTTAATGGAAAGAGCGAACCAGCCCTTGGAATTACTGATTGTGCATCCACGTGAAACCAGTCCTGCTTTTTCACATGGATCTGTATACCTGGGTCTCGATAAGTGACCCCAGTGCTCATTCACTTGAGAAAACGAGGCTTGGTCATCCTACAAAATCAGTTGTTCAATCAAGTGATTTGGATCTGTCAATTTAACTATACGTGTATGTACATGTATCATTGTCATACAATGAGATATTTGGATTGGTGAGGCCCGGATAATTGTGTAAGAAGCTGAGTTTTGATGCAACATTTGCAATACATATTCATAGGCGTACCTGCAGGCTGTGATGCTAAGTACTAATGATCCAAAACCAACCAAACTCCAACACCAGAGTTTGTTGGAATCTGTTAGGAAGGGTACTGCGCTGGTATACTGCCTTTTTTTGTGTGTTTGGAATTACGCATACCACAGAGTCCACCTGTATACATGTATGTGCACAGTTTACTGTATGGTGTTGAATTTTGCCAGAATGGGGAAGGTCGCTAGTAAATCACCCTCCCTAGGGAGTTGGGGTTAATTGACTTTGTCATCAGAACATTGTAAAAAGAATTCCTTATTTTTGGACCAGCGTGTGTTTGCTGTCTAACAGCTGTGCTGTGTTTACCAGCAGAGCCCATACATATATACGTGTAGGGTATGTACAATGCGTATGGATGTACATGTAAGTTGCACGCATACATGTACAAACTACATGTTAATGTACTGCAAATGGAAGTTTTTCTTGTTCACACATTTCCTGTTCAGCAAGAAGTCTTGTTGAAATTAGTTTTTCACTGCACTGTTATTTGTTTTGTTATCAAGGTTGTTCATAAAATTATGAAGATATTCCCCTCAAAAACAATAAGCCAACATGTAACACTTTTTAGTCACACACGTAACGTCACCATTCCCTTTCCTAGAAAAAGAAACCTAGATTCAATTGTATACCAGGGCTACATGTATTTCTCTGGAACCCCTAAAGGGACATTTTTGTTATCTTGTGCGCATGACTTACATGTATCTCATGCGTACGACTTAGTATTGTCGCAAAATCTTAACTGTCTGATGTCAAACACGTAATAGAGATACATCTGTTTATTTCCTGTAAATTGAAACATTACTTGAAAAGAATGTTTAATTGTAATACAAGGTGTCCCTTGTAGCTGACTAAAATATTCAATATACATTACACTTCCAAATTACTTGCAAACGTCACGCACTTTATGTGAGAATGGCCCGAAGGAGCCTTTGCTTATTTTGTTTTGGCTTGTGGATTTCTCGGCTTCGTGTATGAAAGGTCCCGGTCATTATTATTAAATTAGCATTGTAGTCCAATATTGGACAGTTTCCAACCAATTTTGCTATTTGTCCAAAGGGAGTATAAATGGTAAAAGTCTGCATGACTGACACTTTACAAACTGTATGTGTTCTCATGTGGCATTGGAATATGTCTGATCAATTTGGCAGAACCAAATTATTAGGGCCAGGATGTTTTGACTGACCAGTTTTTGGCCTTAATTTCACTCATTGTTAAAGAAGTGGTTGGTTTCCCCCATTTTTGTTCATCATGAGTTCAAGCGTGTGCAAGCCATACATGTAGATTTAGGAATGGGTTTTGATGAAGGACGTTTGTGTTTGTCGGGGTTCTCTCATCATTCTTGTGTAGATGCACAATTTGTCAAATGTTTAATTTCTACATTTGCGTGGCAAATCCCAACATGTGGTGTTCACCGTGTTGGCTCACATAAATAAAAGCAGAATTGCCATCTGCCTTGTTCGGCCTTGCCTTGCCCCGCTAGTTCAAGGCCTAAATGTTCATTTCCCATGCTAAGATCAATATAAAGATGTGTTAACATTTACAATGTAAGAGTGTTGTGTGCGTATATCTCAACATGCATGTAGAGTACATGTATGCGTATTCATCATATATTCATGAGTGAATTCTGATTCACATTATTTATTACTACAGACATGAGTGACAGTCTCAGAAGAATGGATTCTATCACAGGGCTTTTTAATCAGCTGCTTGATGCCTGCATCAATAAAGGACTGTTACATCCCCAGCTTAACGTGCCCAATACCAGACTAGACAAACACCGAAGGGCTCTATGGGTATCTCTGTATTCAACTCTCTTTGCCAACTTGAATGGTCCCCTGCAAAGTGACAATAAAGATGTCATATCCACTGAGGATTGGAATGATGTCGGCAATGAGGGCATGTCCATTGGTGTGAAGGAGCGTCTACTTCAAGTTGTCTTTGAGAGGAGGCGACAGAGGAAGTGTGATGAAGCACATCAACTGGAGGGGCTAGTGTCATCGTTACCAAATGTGGACAATGGTAAAAAATGAGGAAATCCTATTGCCTGGCAAGTTGGTATTTTCTCATGTCCACCAACATTTTGTACAGTTGTGGTTAATGTATGTTTTATCCTCCTATTTTTAAAGGTCATCACCCTGAGTTGAAAGCTGCCCTCCAGCTATTGCTTGCATTGGCTGGTAGTGATTGCAACCATCATCAGAAACCACCTGTGGGACACAAGGAGCCAAGTCTGCCAGTAGTTGGGTTAAAGAACAAGGTACATGTGGTTCTGCCTTCAGGATCACATAAAAACTGCAGTAAAATCAAAAGAGTAGTTAAGATAGCTTTTATCAGAATGCATATCAAAGTATTCCGATGTTCGGAATGAAACTTAAAATATTTTTTGAGGAAAAAATATCAATGTAGTCTTTTTCTTTGCTTTATGTATATTTAATGTAAAATTCAGAGACAGAGAAAGGAAGAAATGGCATGTTGCAGATTCCAAAGAAAGCTTGTTTCAAAGGTCCTGCCTCCACTGCCCATATTTCACTCCAGTGATATTTATAATGTTTATAACCAGGATGAACATGCTGTCGTTTTACCCTCTGGACCACGTTACCATGGCGACAGCTGCCATGTTTATCACCAAGGCTACCAGGGCTACATTCACTATTCCAGGTTTGTTTGTTTATTGTGTGGATTAGATACACACACATTTATGAGACTGATCTTTCTCATATGGGAAGCAAACTGTTTATTGATCCCTTCGTGCCGGGAAGCAGCTATAGCCACTGTAAAAATTAAGATCCTCAGCCCGCTTTTCAGCTATTATTCTCGGCCCACGCTCGAGCGAACACTGTGAAAGAAGGCAGACTCTGGCTGTTGTATATGTGGTAATTGGTCTTTGTGTGTAGCCCAGAAATGAAAAGACCGAATTTGCATCATAATCACCAGCTTCACAATAGTTCCCACTTTGAAAAGACGCAAAGGGAATGTGGAAGCTTGAGTAGAGCTGCATGCTACCGAACAATCAGCCTTTTCACTGTGTAATTGAAAGCGTGCAGAGCACGCAGGCCACAAACCGAGAATTCGGCAGGTGGCCTTTGTGGCCAAGCGAGGTTGGAATTCTTGGAGTCGGCTTTCGGAAAGAAATTCCTGTCGTCAAGGGGTTAAACTGAAATACACGTAAAACTTTGAAATTCCAACTCCTGCTTTGCATTGTTTTGATTTGATGGATGTATCATAGCACCCTAGCCACTACATGTACATTACTTTTGGAATATGATATCTGGATCCTCATTTATTTTAGCACAGAGAATGTATGACATTGGGCGTTACACAGCACTTTAACAGATTGGAACATTCTAAATAATTATTTGCCAAAAAGTACCAGTACTCAGGGATGATAGTCACGGTGGGGCTAGAGTTTTAGTGATTTTCCTTGAAAGTTTGTGTTCTGTGCACTTTATTATTTATCCATGAACCATTAGAGGAGTGTTGTGCAACTTGTAAAGTGAAAGCTACAAAATAATAAAGTTTTCTTTAAATTGAGCTCATGATCAAGTAATGCTGAATGATTGTTTCGGTAGCCAAATTTGTGATAATGCAAACAGCAACCTGCTCAAAATGTCCATTTATTTTTGGTTAGTTATTCACCAAACTTTTCTTCACAAACCAATCAATCACACACACTTTCGTTTCCTCCTCATGGCAAAATCTGTGTATTTACAATGTATTTGATTAAGCCATAGAAGGTGGCAGAAACCTTGAAAGCACAGCTTGAGTCAGGCATGCCAATACAAGAGAAAACCAAACAAAAACAGAACAAACTGCAGTGTACAAAATATGAGAGCACTGAATAATATTATGAATGAGCAGGTTACGAGTAGGATCATAAAACAGATTTCCAGAGGCTAGGATGCATTACATTTATTACAGAAGATGGAATTTACCATTAGTGCATTCTTTTTTTGTTTTTGTTTAGGGATCTCTTTGAGGGTCAGCAATTAGAAGCTGTTCAGTCAGATGACCAAGGAGAGCTGAGAAATTACAGGATGCTCCAAAATAAGGTTTGTTCTTAAACTATTATTAGTGGCATTTCTTAACTGGTACAGAATCTCCTTCAAGTGTGGATTTTACTTCCAGCATTTCCGTATGTCAAATCTGTTGCTTAAAAGCTTGCCAAGTTGATGACAGGTCTGCCCTTTTTTGTTCTCAATTTTGCAGCTCTTTGAAGCAGAACCTGGAAGAGACCTACTTGGCAACGGACTTTTCACATTAAAGGTACATGTATGTAGTTGACCATATTGACCTGTGAACCAGTTCGCCTTTCTTATATCACATACCCAAATGAAGTACGTCTGAGGTCATCTGGATGTGTGAGTGAGGTCTGCCTAGTCAATGCAGCCTACACAGATGCACATGTGCTTTGTTGGCAAATGACCTTGCCTTTTTAAATGGCAAACTTGCTCATTATCAAATTACTGCTCATTGAAGGAATAGCAACAACTGAACAGTTGTCACTAATCATTTCTTTTGAGTAAAATGCTGATTAAAGTTTACGTTGAATAAAGATTGGCTTGGGCGGTATTGCCTTTTTTCGATACCGCGGTATCCGTGAAAAAAATACCGCGGTATTTACTAATACCACGGTATTCGTTGCAGAAGGCAATGACGTCATCAAAAAGCCGCCGTGATGCTGACATTCAATGGCAAACCACAATCAACACTAGGGGCCAGCATAAAGGGTTTTAACGTCACAAAACCCCAAAAACTTAATAACCATTATAATTTATCTGTCCATTTGATGTCAAATAAATGTTGTTTATGTGAAAGAATTTTTTAAAAAAGGGACGGTGTTTTAAATAACGATTTGTTGCTCCGTGATTCCTATATCTGTGTGGTCACTCGTACGGTGTCAAAATCTGCACACGTACTACATTCAAGTTGGTACTCGCTGAGACAGTGCATTATTGTAATGATTATGTGCTGGTTACCAGTGGCTGCTCCTCTTAACTGTGCCCTAACACTGCGTGTGTGCAATAGTAAGGTGGCTTCCAGAAAACTCTGCATTGTGGCCGGCATTGCAAGTACAGTCGACTCTCGTTATTAACGAAATCAGTTATAATGAAATTCCGATTATAACAAACACAAAACTGGGGTCCTGGCCAAAACATGCACATTTCTATGGGGAGAAAATTTGTTACAGTGAAAATTGCATTGTATGAAATTCCTGGTACAATGGTACAACGAAAGGTTTCCGTCACTGCGTTTTCTGAAAAACTATTGTTGACAACCCATTTATAAAGTGTTTGCGAATCGCAGTGGTGAAAACACGTGCGCTGTGCACCACATTGGTTCCCGCCTGGCCGAACCATCGCCAACGAAGGCATGATGCAAATGCGACAATCAGTCAATGTAGAGTTTCTGCCAAAAAAGGGTTGTACGTTCCACTACACTGAATGCAGCTCTATAGTTGCAAGTCGAAAAAGCACTGCCGTCACAAATTTTTCTGCAGGTTCATTTACAAATATTAATCTCATGTGTGCGTTTATGTTTTCTGTGTTCATGTATTTGAGGTCGTACTGTTTGTACTCTAGCGAGCGTGTTTCCAAAAAAATATCCAGCTGCTGCACGGCAGCACAAGGCTTATCACCCGCCCCTCCATATGCGTCACGCACGCTTACAACGTGATATACAGACGTCGTTTGCCAGTTTCCTGTCCTCATGACACGCGTAGTGCACGATATAAAACGGATGATATTTTACATTGATAAAACAAACGCCAAAACAAAAATTCCAATCCCGTTTTCACATCTCAAGATTCCAACTAATCTCCCAACACTGAATTATTCATATTGCGGCAAAAAAGATCTGAGACTGTGTTTTTATGATGTACATTTGGCAAGACACAGCTATCCAATCGTAATATTCCTTCATGACGTCATGCTTCTTCAGCGACCATCTCGCGTGTGGGCGAGTGAACACGCACTATTGATCAATCATGTCATGCAGCTCGTGTCGAAAATCAAAAGACAGACGAAAAATTAAACAAAAAATGTCTCTCTGTGACACAATTTGTTTTGGAAAGACTACTTACATGGAACGGGATTTTATTTGACGAGTCTTCACATTCTTGCAGGTACATCCAGGCCTACATGTGCAAGCAGCTTAGTTACTGTTAGCTTCGTCGTCATCCATGGCTATTGAAAGTCTTTTAAAAATCCCTGGATTGATGCTTTCACGTGTATTTGCTTTTTAAATTTCACATGCACATTAGACATGTTGTCTTATAACAATGAAGTCTACTCTTCTTAACACATCACAAGGTATTTGATTAATCATAACTGAGAGATCTTTTTGATTAACCACGTTGTCCTCAATTTATTCCAGACAAACTGAAATACAGTGACAAGTGAGGAATCAGGTGTTTGCTTCTCTTTTCGTGTGGTTGGAATGACTGTCAGAACAACAGAAAAATAATCGTTGATTGCTGTGGATGTCGAACAGATGTAGATTTATGGAATCATTTTATAGTTTATAACACACATTCCTGGCTTTGGTTTGATAAATTTTCACCAAAATACTTGTACATAATTTATATAAAGGACAAAAAAGACCCAAGGAGAGCACAAGGCTAGCACAAGCAGTATTCGCATTTTCTGATCCGCCAATAAAAGTCTTCCGAAAATTAAATCCAGTGTGGACACAGAAGACCAGCTGATTTTTAATTCCCAAGCTGTAGGGCTGTGATATGTGCCGGTTAGCAATACAACAAGCACTGCCTAGAAGCTATTCCAAAACCGCAAACTCGACGGCAGCGATAGGAAAACAAAACCTTTGACAGGTGGGGTGGTGGCCGCATGCTGAAGTATCACATTACATCTTATCTCGTCAGACAATTCAAACACAATGCTGGGTGACTGAAACCACAAAGTATGCAGTCACTGTTGTGGATATACATGTAATTGTCTGCTTTCATCTTAAGAGGGTAGTGGAAACATTCTGAACAAATTAGCCAGAATACAGCGGTATTGAAATTCAATACTGAAGTAGCCGATATTCTTGTATTCATGGATTGTTAGTTGGTATTGTTCAGTATTAAAAAAAAAAAAAAGTGGTATTCGGTAATACCGAAATACCACCCAAGCCCAAATAAGGACATTGTCTGTGCTTGGTAATATGTTAATGTCCTGAGCAAAACGCAAGATGTGAGAATCTGTATGCACAAAACCTTAAGATTATTTACCTTGTTTAACAATTGTATGTCAAGGTAGTGTCTGAAATTATGTTGTGATGGCGAGCTGCTTATGTCTGAAGTAATATACATTATTATATGTAGATCTATGTTCAACTTGTGCCATGGACAGGATTGATGCTCAAATTTGTTGATTGATTTTGTAGATAAATTTGGATGGTGACAATCATTACTTTTACAGTGCTGGTTTATGATGTTCTCAGATCTCAGAAGAATCGCAAAAAATAGTTGAATTTCATTGTGGCTATGTATGCCTTTTATAATCATGACAAGAAGTTTTCAGAATTGCTTGAAAATTGTATTGTAACTTGCACCACATAAAATTGATAATTGGTGGGCAAAATGATGCATCATAATGCAACTAAAAAAAAAAATGCAGTTTAAGAACGGATACATCATAGCACAAACTATTGAGTTGTTGGCAATTCAAATCATGATTTTGAAGGTTTGCATTGTGGACATTTTCAAGATGTATTTTTGCGTTGGGAAGATGTTAATTATATATAATGGTTTGCCCGTACCCAACGTATATATATAAGCACTGTATGCTCAGTGCTTGTCCGAGAGCTTGCGAAAAAAC